ATTACAGCTGATATACAAACACATATAAACATCTTTAAAAGGTGCCTGCCTAGGGCTACATTTTTATTTCAAGAGGAAAAAAATACTGTAACATTATTGGAATGGTATAAAAAACACACAACAGACTGAGCAAAAATAAACAAAAGATGTTTCTTTAGCCCTGTAGTCATTAGAATTAAATTTATATCCCTTTCTGATTTATAAAATAAAATCTAGCTTTCTTGAGCATCTTGAAAGTGCATCCAATGCTTCACTGAACATTATTTCCACATCTTTGATGTTCACATGAGTTAATATTTCCACAACTAAGTTAATGTTTATAGCTAGAGATTAAAATAGTCTACAGGGCTGTGAAATAGGAGCTACATTAAGAGGAGCAGCTAACAGACAGCAGAATGGCAGAGGAAAGGATAGCTTAATTAGTGGAACATCAATACCATTAAAAAAGGAGAGAGGATTGTTAAAACCTGTGGAATTAAGAGTTTAGAAGGAACCAGATAGATTGTAATAAGCCACAAAACCAAGCAACTCCCTCACTGCTGTCTAAATAGAAATGCTGCTGCCACTGTCAAACAATGGTTTTAAACTTGGGTAGATCAGGAATCAGATAGGGATACAACTGCACCACTGCACCTCAAACACACATTGACATTCAGCACTGAAGCACCGCTATTCAACAGTGCTAGTTAGTCTACCCTCAGCCAGTAGTGTAACAAAGGGGGGACAACCAGGGCAGCAGTCCCAGTGCTAACCCTGGGAGCGGTGCAAAAATAGCAGTATCTGTGCTGCTGGTCCAACCACTGCCACACAACCAGCAGTTCAGCCACTTGCACCCAGGGTGCTCAAGTATTCAGTTATGTCTCTGCCTGCAGCAGCACATGAACAGAGATACTCTGCTTATGGTTTAGGATACAGCCAGTACAGAACAGCATAGCATATTCAAAGGCACTGCTGCATGGCATAGAAAGTCTGTAGTGTAGACAGGCCCATAGACGACCTGTGGTATTTTTATCCACTGCACTACTCAAAGGTAATCCCTACATATATATATATATATATATATATATATATA